TTTCTTACTTTTTCTTGACATGAATAAATCTGTTGTAAATAGCTTTGTTAAGTATATGGAGTAAGTATATCATAAAAGTTATCAATATTTATTTCCCGCGTTTTTAAATCAAAATTAAATATATCGTTTTTGTTAAAAAGTAGTTTGCATAAATTGTTTAAGCAAATAGGCAACATTTTGAAGCGCAACAATTGGTAAAAATCTGCATAACTCTGCGTTTTTGTAGATAAATTTACACAAATTATTTCAATAAAATAAAATTACCATGCATTTTAATTTTTTTATTCTAACTTAGAAAAAAATCTGGAAAAAAAGAAAATTTTTTTGAGTTATTATTAATTAAGTTTTTGAGTTAAACTTATATATTAATTAAGTTTTTGAGTTAAACTTGCTCAAACGTGTTAAAAATAAGCTTAAAAAAGGGTAAAAAAAGCCTAAAATATGACTTTTGAGGCACTTGAGCAACCCCTAAAAGTGGTCAAAGTTAAAATAAAAAAAATTCTACTAATAAAATGTGGGTCGGTGCAGCAGATAACACTCCATGGTACTTTAAATTTTGTTATGACCTCAAAATGAAGCATTCTAATATATATATATATATATATATATATATATATATATATATATATATATATATATATATATATATATATATATATATATATATATATATATATATATATATATGTATATATATATATATATATATATATATATATATATATATATATATATATATATATATATATATGTATATATATATATATACATTTATATATATATGTATATATATATATATATATATACATATATATATATATATATATATATATATATATATATATATATATATATATATATATATATATATATATATATATATATATGTATGTATATATATATATATATATATATATATATATATATATATATGTATATATATATATACATATATATATATATATATATATATATATATATATATATATATATATATACATATATATACATATAAATATATATATATATTTATGTACATATATATATATATATATATATATATATATGTATATATATATTTATATTTATATTTAATACTATTTATATTTGGTAATAATTTAAGTTGTCAAAAAGTACTAAAAAATTAAAAACATAATTTTTTTAAATGATTTCAAACCCGACGCAAGTTAAAAATCTGAAAAAAATCTTGGACATTTAAGAAGAAAATCCGTCATGGAACTAAAAACTAGTCACAAAAGTTACTGGAAATCCTTTTTCCGTATTTAATCTTGAATCTACTGTTGGAAGGGTTATAAAAAAAATATAAAAAGACTTTATCCTTCAAACGAGCTAAATGATCTGTTATTAAAAATATCTTTAACAACAAAATATTGGTATATAAGATTCGTTGTTCTTTTGAAAGAAATCCAGGTTTGTCTAATATCTTTAACAATAAAATATTGTACCTTTTAACTCACAGAATGAGTTAAAAGGTACAACGTTTCTGGTACCTAAACGTTTTACCTTTTAACTCACAGAATGAGTTAAAAGGTACAACGTTTCTGGTACCTAAACGTTGTACCTTTTAACTCACAGAATGAGTTAAAAGGTAAAACGTTTCTGGTACCTAAACGTTTTACCTTTTAACTCACAGAATGAGTTAAAAGGTAAAACGTTTCTGGTACCTAAACGTTGTACCTTTTAACTCACAGAATGAGTTAAAAGGTACAACGTTTCTGGTAAAGAAAGTGAAGAAGTACTACAATTACAAGTGTTTCCGAGCAATTAAATACAACATTGTTCTGACAAACATAATTAAATACAACATTGTTCTGACAAACATAATTAAATACAACATTGTTCTGACAAACATAATTAAATACAACATTGTTCTGACAAACATAATACCACTGCCAAAACATGAGTACAAAAACTTGTTTTGATAAAATTAAATAGCAACATTTTGATGAAGAGGAGACACAAATAAAATGTTAGTTTAGTTATCTGGTGACAAATAAAATAGGGGAAGTTCGTGTACCTTGGGCCGGATTTTTTTAATGCAAAAATTCAAGACCCCAGACTCGTCTAAAAATGGTAAAACTGACATGATCACATCTCTACACTAATTACTTTGTATTAGTATAAGTATTTTGACTTAGACTATAAAAGCCTGTCATGTAAAAGAGTTTAAAAATTAGTGGTCCTTGGTACAATAACCTTTTTTTTTAATTGTTCCGAGGGTCACTTGCTATTGTACCTACGGCCGCTCTCTGAAATTTAGGTTTAACTAATAACGTAATAAATTGAGTACAGATTTAGACACATAAGTTTGATTAAAAACTTATTTAATTTTAAATTGCTTTCAACAAATTCATCAAGTGTTGATTGCAACTTGATTGCAACTCCTAAATAAATATTTATTGATGAAAATTATTGTTAAAATTGAATGCTCTTAGTTTTAAATCAAAGTTGTGGAACTCAACTGGTTAAACTCAAAGTTGTGGAAGGGATATTTAAAGAACAGACTTCAAAGAGTGGTGGTAAGAAATGAGAAATCAGAATGGAAAGAGGTTGTGAGTGGAGTACTACAAGGATCAGTGCTAGGACCACGATTATTTGTAGTGTATATTAATGATATCTCCAACAAATTAAAATCAAGCTGTAAACTATTTGTTGACGGCATGAAAATCTTTAGAGCAATAAAAAATGATAATGATATTATTGAACTTCAACAAGATATAGACTAATTAATAGAATGGTAGAATGAGTGGTTAATGAAAATCAACCAGAAAAAGTGTAAGGTTATCATAATAGGAAATAATTAGTACAAGCTTTAAATAAATAGTACAGCTTTAGTCAACACAAGCATGGAAAAGAATTTAGGAGTGTACATTTCAGATGATTTGGAATGAAAACACCATGGAAATAAAACAGTAAATAAAGCAAATCAAAAGCTAGGTCAGATCAAACACACTTAAGTATTTAGATGAAAAAATGATAAAACTCTGTTTATAGCCTTAGTACGTCTACATTTGGAACACGCAGCTCCAATCTGGAATCCTTATCGGCAGTATGATAAAGATAAGCTAGAGAGTGTCCAACAAAAAACTTCTAGAATAAAAGTTTGAAAGGATACAGCTATGAAGAGAGTTTGAAAAAGTTGGATTTACTATCGTTGGAGAACATAAGAAGAAGGGGTGATTTGATACAAATGTTCAAAAATTTGAAAGGGTACGATATCATAATTTTTTTCATAAAACCCGAAATGCTAGATAACGGATATAAAACTAGAGGTCACAATTGTAAACTGAGAAGGCAATATACAGCAAATATAAAACAACATAACTTTTTCACCAATAGAATAATAAACAACAGGAACAATCTTAAACAAGAAACAATAGACGCAGTCAGCATCAACCAATTCAAAAAAAAATTGGATGAACATTTTAAATACTAACTTTTATTATGTTAGTGTGTTACAGCTGTTACAGTATCAAACTCTATGAAGTTTGGACTTATCAATCTTCAAGTGTACAGCACTCTTTATATTTATATATATATATATATATATATATATATATATATATATATATATATATATATATATATATATATATATATATATATATATATATATATATATATATATATATATATATATATATATATAACAAAAATGACAAATAGTTCTGAGCAAAAATGACAAATAAGTCTATGCGTAAAATAGTAATCTTGAAAAATACCGCGAGGAAAAAAAATTCTGCGCCAATCAAAATTCAACAATTAACCTCGTTATCAAGCAAATTCTATACGCGCCTATGGCCCTAGGTAGAAGCAAGCTATATAACCCTAGGTACAAGAAATAATAGCCTCGTGAAAAATCTCATTGTTGAAAGGAAACTTATTGAACATCGCATTTAATACTTAGGTAAGAAACAATATAGTATACAAGAACTTATAGAAAGGCTCATCCTTTAGGTCTGTAAAACAATATAAGATACAAGTGTCAAAAACTTACTTCAGACCATTAAAAAGCGTTTTCTGATAATAACTTGCCTTAGCAAGGCATTCTGAGATTCAAAATATGATTTAAAGATAAATATTTTTATAACTAATCACCTCACTGAGAAACATTACCTAAAACTTTATAGTTTTCAAATAAAGTGGGGTGGCTTTAGCTACATGGAGACCCTAGATACACAAACTTCCCCTACTTCAATTTTTTAAAAATTATTTTTATAACAAACAATTTGCAGTTTGCGGTGAAAAGAGTAGAGCTTTAGTGATTTTCATCAAATTGGCATCAGAAATTTATATTGAAGAGTGTCTTAACTTGGCTTTTGCCACTCATTCAATCGCATGCTTGAACTTTGTTTATTTGGTCTGGTTCAGCTTTGTGCTGCTAGGCTAAGAAAATTTCGGAGTAATATAAATCGAAAAACTTTGTACCAAAAAAGTCTAATTCTCTAAATTGTCAGAAAAAGTTAATAACATTTCAACAGTTAATCATCAACAGCATTGTACAGATTTAAAAAAAAAAAAGGAAAATTTTGAAACTTAAAGTATTTATATAATTTTTAATTTCTTAACATTAAATAAAAATTTGAGAAATTTGTAAAAAAACAGTTATTTCAAATATCTTTAAAAAGATTTTCCTTTCGAACTTTTCGATCTTACGCTTTAGTTTATTATAAATATGTAATAAATAAATATTCCATTGGATATTTATCTAAAGTATATATAATTTATTATTTTTAATCATTTATGAGCTATTTATTAGGCAAAAAAAAAGAAAAAACTTTTTTCATAAATTATATTTGATTAATTTCACGAGCAATTTTTATGTTTGTTGCATAAAATTGTTCTTTACAAATTCTGTTTAAAAAAAGAATATTCAAAAACTCATATGTTAAATGTCTAATTAAAAAAAAAGATATCCATTGCAAAAAAATCATTTACAATAGTTTAAAAAATAACTCGTCAAATTATTTTATTTCATTTCAGTCCTTGAAATAAGATTTTCCGTATCCATAACCTTTATTATATGATCCACCATAACCTCCATATCCGCCATATCCATAGCCTTTATCTAAATAAAGAAGTTCAAATTGTTTAAATTACTGATTAACATATAAGTGTTGTTTGTTATATTAGGAAAAACAAAAAAGAAATTTTAAAATAAAGTTTACTATATGAATTATATGACGGATCTTCTTTTATTGCCGATTTAGATTCGTCACTGTAGTAAATGTTTCCGTATCCGTACCCTTTGTTGTATAATCCACCACCGTATCCACTGTAGCCATATCCTTTGTCTTGAAGTATTAAAAAAACACTCAGTGTGTTATAAAAAAAAAATTTAAATTACATTATTAAATAAATGAAACAAACATGATTTACTGTATGAGTTATAAGTGGGATCTTCTTTTACAGCTTTTTTTGATTCGTCACTGTAGTAGTTGTTTCCGTATCCGTACCCTTTGTTGTTTCCGTATCCGTATCCTTTATTGTATGAGCCACCACTGTAACTTCCGTACCCACCGTAGCTATACCCATTGTCTAAATGATTTAATAGACTATAAGTATGCAATGTAAATAAAACTTCAAAATGATTTTTTTTTTTTTTTTTGTTAAAAAGTCCTTCTAAAAAATAATTGAAACAAGATTTACTGTATGAATTAAAAGTGGGATCTTCTTTTAGAGCCATTTTTGATTCGTCACTGTAGTAGCTATTTCCATACCCATACCCTTTGTTGTATAATCCACCTCCGTATCCTCCGTATCCACCGTAGCCATAACCTTTAGCTAAAAGATTTATTAAATAGTGTAAATGTAGATAAAAACTTACATAAAATCCATTTTTTTATTAAAAAATATTTTATCAAATAAACGAAACATGGCTTACTGTATGAATTATAACTGGGATCTTCTTTTACAGTCTTTTTTGATTCGTCACTGTAGTAGTTGTTTCCATATCCGTACCCTTTGTTGTATAATACACCACCGTATCCACCATATCCATATCCCTTGTCTAAAAGATTTAATAAATTTAATTCGTGTAAATGTAAATTAAAATTTAAAAGTTGTTATTCTAAATGAAAATCTTTATAACAATTGTTTTAAATATGGTTTACTGTAGGAATTATAACTGGGATCTTCTTTTAAAGACGTTAAAGATTCGTCACTGTAGTAGTTGTTTCCATAACCATAACCATTGTTGTATAATTCACCACCGTATCCTCCGTATCCACCGTATCCACCGTATCCATAGCCTTTAAATAAGTTGGCAATTTAAGTAAGGTTATACGTTTTTATAAACAATATATTTTAATAGATATTAAAACAACTTTAGCAAAATTCTAAATTATAGTATATAAGATCATTTTAACTATTAATACGACTTGATGATTAAATCAAAATTAAGTCGAACAAAGCTACAAACTTTTGTTTTGAATTTTATTTGTTGTTTACAATTTAATAATTTGTTAAATAATTAAAAAAAATTTTATTGATAATTTATATAAAATAGTTATTAAATAAAAAATTTAAAATCTACCGTTTCCTTTATTGTACGAACTTAGTATCTTTCCACTTCTTGCATAAACACAAAGGTTTAGGAAAACCACCATAAACAATATGTTTACTGTGTTCATGTCTTCAGTAAGATTGAATAAGTTACACTAAAATAGCACAAGCTACACATACTAGCACACTCAAAATATCGCCTATTTATTCAAAATTTAACTTCCTTGTTAGTGACGCAAATAACAAACAAAATTGGAATTGCAATTTAAAAAACTTATTAACGTTATTTTTATTACTTGTAGTGGGTGATTATTGCTTTTTCATTGAATTTTTTCAGACAGTTTTTAATACTTTTGCGCACAAGAATAAAATTAACTACCATTAATCTAATATCTTTTAGTATTTTCTCATTTATTAGAGATTATAAGAAAAACATCACTAACCGAAACATATTAATCCATTATATAAGTGTTGAAGATTTTTATATTTCTATTTTTTGTTTGCTTAGTAAAATAAATCCCTAATATCTTGCACTATTACTCTGTCCTTTATCATTATTTCAAAGATACTATTGTTGTTTTGTTTTTTTGTTGTTTTTTTGTTGTTGTTGTTTAAAGAATGATAGGCTCCAAACTAGTGAAATAAGATTTAACATTTAAATTTGGTTTATACAAGTAAGTTTATGTAAGTATGTAGGATCTCCGAGTTTTTATGTCGTATAAGTAAGTTTATGTAAGTATGTAGGACCTCCGAGTTTTTATGTCGTATAACATGCATAGCACAAGGTGAAATATTTTTAATAAACTATTATGATGTATATGCACGTTATTTTCGTAAAGCTTTGGCCGACAAAGATATGCCATAATACCCTGTAAATGAAATTGAGTTATGGAAGAGTTGTATACTAAACTACAGAGAGAACAGGCTGTAGGATTATGTGTTTTTTTGGATGAATATTTTAAAACTTCGGTTAAAAAATTGAGATGTCGATTTTAAAAGTCATTAAGTCTAATTTTTATAACAAAAATATTTAGAAACAGTTTATGTTAAAGTAATTTTTTTTTCTACTAAAAAAGATTTAACTTTTTACGCCTACTGAAATATCTCTATCAATAATAATAGCTATTTATTAAAATATAAGTAATGAATATTCAGCACAAAATACAGTTTTTAATGGTTTCATGAAGACATTTTTTAAACTAGGCTAAAAAATATTTTTGCTCTGCGCCAAGAATTCTTTTTTTTTTTTTTTTTTTAGTTTTTTATTAGGTGCCCCAAGAAGTCCTTAAGGTGAGTTTCCATTCATCCGCTTTTCTACGGGAACGGGATAGGAAAGGGAAAAATAATCATGTGAGCATGCCTCGGACATATCAAAACTTATTTGGGATTTGAACCACGGATCCTTTTTTTCTGAGGCAAGTGCGTCTCCACTGAGACACGGTTGCTTCATATTTTATCTTTTCCGCCTATTTCATATTCTACTTTTTCATCCTTTTCTTTGGCCTTGTTTTCTTTCTAGAGCTCTTCAATAACTTGTTGACTGATAAAACAACATCTTCTTAGTTTTCAGTTCAAATGGTTCTGGTACTTGAAGAATATCCTAAATTGTTTTCGATCTTTTTGTTATAGGATTAGAGGAAAATGAAATAAAGCAATTCGTCGAAGTTGAAGACGAACAACTTAAGTTTCAATATTTACCTGTGAATATGTCAAATTCAAAAAGTTAGCATACCCGTATAAACAACACGGCGATACATTTACACAAAACAAAAAAGAAATAACAACTAAAACAAAAAAATATTTTTTATGTTTTATTATAAAATCTTTAAAAACAAACGAACTTAAAAAAATATTCTAAAAACTTAGTAATACAAAACTAGTTATTTTATTATATTTTAATTATTAAGTTGCTAAATACTACTAACTTTAAATCAAAATATAATAAATAGGATCACTTAAATTACACAAAAAACCGCCGTGAAATTATTCGGCAACAATTTCGATATGTTGGCTAATTAGCAATACGCCAATATAGAGCTGATGTAAATATGCCAAATGTATCAGCAGCTTTTCAAATTCTTAAAGTTCTTTTTTACTCACAGCTCCAACTGCAATTTATCCCAATTTGAACGATTGATCTTTCTTATAAAATTTCTTAATATCGTTTTTTGCAATATCTTTAAATTTATTACTAATATTGCATTTCTAAATAAGGAAAAAAACATTTTAGATTTAAAAAAAAAAATCATCAAATTGTAAACGGCACCATATATATACTCGTAGTAAAATAGTCAACTATATATATATAAATATATATATATATATATATATATATATATATATATATATATATATATATATATATATATATATATATATATATATATATATATATATATATATATATATATATAATAATAATAATAATAATAATAATAATAATAATAATAATAATAATAATAATAATAATAATAATAATAATAATAATAATAATAAAAATGATAGTAATAAATAATTGATCTTTCTTATCTTTCGATTGATCTTTCTTATATAATTTCTTAATGTCGTTTTTTGCAATATCTTTAAATTTATTACTAATATTGCATTTCTAATTAAGGAAAAAAACATTTTAGATTAAAAAAAAAAATCATCAAATTGTAAACGGCACCATATACTCGTAGTAAAATAGTCAACTATATATATAAATATATATATATATATATATATATATATATATATATATATATATATATATATATATATATATATATATATATAATAATTATAATAATAAAAATAATAAAAATAATAATAATAAATAATTTATCGTTCCAATAAGCCCCACAAAAGTCATTTTAATGAAATTAATACTATTTTAAAATTGAAATTAGAGTAGAGCGGGGCATATCGGGACAGCTTTAAATTATTGCGCTTCGTTATTGCAAAAAAAGTTTAATTTTAAAAATACCAAAATGCATTAAAAGTACCAAAATGCATCAGAGCTCAAAATAAATCTGTATCGGGGCATATCGGGGCATATCGGGACAGTTTTAAATTATTGCGCTTCGTTATTGCAAAAAAACTTTAATTTTAAAAATACCAAAATGCATTAAAAGTACCAAAATGCATCAGAGCTCAAAATAAATCTGTATCGGGGCATATCGGGACAGTTTTAAATTATTACGCTTCGTTATTGCAAAAAAAGTTTAATTGTAAAAATACCAAAATGCATTAAAAGTACCAAAATGCATTAAAAGTACCAAAATGCATCAGTAGGTTTGTAAAAAACAGAATATGCGTATTTTCTTAAGCGATAAAGATTCATTTTGAGCTCTTGCGAGTTTGCTTTATTTATAAAAAGTTTATATTTTTCAGACAGTATTTTTTATCCTCTTTTAGCATTTGGTTTTAAAAAAATATTTAAAATTGAACTTTTTGATTAGTATTAATTTCAGTAAAATGACTTTTGCGGGGCATATCGGGACAACAAGCTATTTATATAATTGAGTACATTATTACCATTTTGTGATGATGTTTACAGTTTGATAATTTTATTTTTAATCTAAAATATAATTTTTTTTATTTAGAAAATCAATTTTAGCAATAAATTTAAAGAAATTCTTCTTTTTATAACTTTACTTTAATTATTAATAGTGTTTAATGTAAACAATGAAGGTAAGAAATTATATAAGAAAGATTAATCATCCAAAACGGGATGAAATTTAGTTTTAGCTGTAAGGGATCGTCCATAAATTTTGTCACGCATGTTTTGACAGATTTTGACCTCCCCCTCCCTCCCGTCACAAAATCGTAACACTTAAGAAGCAAGTTTTGTATGAGTCGTCACAAAACTCCCCCCTCCTCCTTATAGCGTGACGTAATTTATGGATGACCCCTAAGTAAAAAGTATTAGAAAAGATTAGAAAAATTAGAAAAGGTGCTTGTACATATGGCATTTTTAAATTTGCTCTACATTGGCATATTGCTAATAAGCCAGCTCATCAAAAATGTTGCCAAATAGTTTCAGGATATTATTTGTGTGATTGATGTGATCAATAAAATTTTTTGTTTTATTTCAAATTAAGTAGCAGTTACCAATTTAATAATATATAGGTAAGAGTAGAGACAATTGAAGAACTGCTGCTTTTCAACTGTACCGTTTTGCCCCACCTACTTGCAAAATGTAAAAGTTTTGCTAGTCTAGAGTTTCGTTACTTAGGTTGTCATAACTTATTTTTAGAAGTTTTTTTATTTTCTTATTTTAATGAATTTAAGGAAATTTATAAAAAACAGTGTTAACTATGATTATTTTATCCGCAACTAGCATTCTAAAAAATGATAAAATATTAAATTTTATCATTTTTTAGAATGAATACTTGATACTTAAAAAAATTAAATTCATTTTATGAAAAGTGCTACTCTAGCAATTTCTTATGTTACATAACATTACAACTGCATTATGTTACTTTTTTTTTTTTTTGCATTTCGGTACTTTTAACGCATTTTGGTAATTCTGAAAAAAATTACTTACAATAATGAAAGAAAACAATTCAAAATGCTTCATCGAAAAAATTTTGGTGAAAATTTTTTTTTAGCTAAGTGCGTAACTACCACGTCCCGATATGGTCCCTCTCTATCCTTTCGTTCTTTTGTCGCATAATGATTATGAACTTAAAACTTTGTTTTGAGTTCAAGCTTGAAATGCAGTTTGATATTTTTGTATCGATTGATTCAATTAAGAAAAATAAAATATAAATTTGCGTTAAATATATATGCAATGTGTTTATAGGAAATTTATATTTTATAGTTTATTCTAAACATCATTTAGGTTTTTGTAAATTGTGAAAGTTATTTAATTATGTTAGTTATGTTGTGAAAGTTATTTAATTATGTTAGTTATGTAATTGACTTTTTGCGGGCCAGCATTTCTCTAAGACCATTTTTTTCCAGTCAGTAGACTAAATCCGTAATACAGTCTGCAAAGTGTCTCCCCACGTCGTACATTTACAAAATGGCTGCTAGCTTTGCGCCTCCAATAATTCAAGACAACCCCAATGGTTGGGGTCCGTGTTCTGTTTCCACAGAATTCAAAGATATACCATATCAACCATTTTCAAAAGGAGACAGAATTGGAAAAGTAAAGTTTTTTATTGCTTTAATTTTTATGTGCAAATCTTCATCTTTATAAAGACCACTTCAAAGATGTGAAAGAAATTTTATTATGCTATGTGCTATTGTAAAAGCACATAGTATAGTGCTTTTATTAAGTATTGTTAAAAAAAATATTTTTTCCTACTTTCTAATATGTTTGGATAATATATGTGCAGATGCTGCTTCAATATGTATGCATGTATACTATATAATGTATAGGTGCAGAAAATGTTTTATAAATAATGGCATTTTAAATTCTTTTTCTTACTTTTCAATAATTTTGTATAATATATATTTAAATACTGCTATAATATGTATGCATATACACTATATAATAAATTTAGGTGCAAAAAATGTTCTATAAACAAAATGCCATATAACTTACATTATTGTTATAACAGGGTGGCCAGCAACCTAGAAAACCTGGAAAAGTCAGAAAAGTTCTAAATTATGTTATAAACTCAGGGAATTCGTTAAATTTTGCAAAAGTTAGGGAATTGTGATGAAGATTTGTTAGATTTTGCATTATTGATTATTATCGATACATCATTTATATATTATCATCATAACCTCTAGTTTGTTGTCTGTTTTCTACATTCGCACCAGTTGGGTTATTTTCCATTTTCATTTAAGATAGTCAATTTTAAGAGAATTCGACATGCTAGTTACTTTTATAAGTCACTAAACCTTATGCATTCATTATATAGAATTGATTTTCATAAAAAGCCAAGTACTTACACACCTTAAAAATAACCTTGGATTAAGACTTTCATTAAGTTTCAAACAAATATAGCATATTAGTTTTTGAAGAATTATAAATTAAAGTATACTAAAGATTTTTTTTTTAAATATTTTAAGTATACTAAAGATTTTTTTTTAAATACTGTTTCATTATCTTAATTAAATATAACATTAAATTTTTTAATAAAATATATTTTCAAATGCATTTTTGTTTTAGATTTCTGACTGGACCGGCCAATTTCAAGACAGGGCTAAATTTTACAGTAACCTTAATTCTTTTCAATGTTATTATTAAATTTGTTAGAAAATCATTAATAAGACCACTAAACCTTTTATTTGATATAAATTTAGTTGCATATATCAATGCTCATACTTTTTTTATATTTTAAATGTTTGCAGTTTTTTGTTGTAATGATTTTGTGGTTTTATGTATTTTTTTATTTCAAATTTTTGTTATTTCACTATAATTTCTATTTATAAAAGAAAAAACTCAACATTTTATCTCAATATATTTGTTAGTCAAGAAATTTAATTAACTTTAGCTGAAAGTATAAAATCTTGCTTTCATAGACAAATACCAATCTCAGTTTGCAGGAGGCAATCAATATGCTTATTATCATGAAGGAGATGAATCATCCTTTCAATTAGTTGATACAACTAAACCACAAAAAACTGCTTATCAAAGAAACAGGCAGCGTTTCAACAATGTATGTATTTATAATTTTTTGTTTTATTAGGTAGGGAGAGTATGCATCCTTAATTCTCTGATCTGATAAAATGAAAACAAATAATTTGTTACCTAATTCAAAATTTAATATTGTTATATATTTTACATAATCATATTTTACTTGTAGTTATAATCATAATACAAATTATCATTTATATTGTTTACATCATATATTAGGTTTGTACAGGAATGGTGTTCGATCCAGCGCTATTGCTGACCACGCAAATGATTTTTTTTTGACAACTTGACCACAATTGTTTATATGTTTTAATGATTTAAAAATTTCAGAAATGCTCTGAATGTAGAAACGCTAAGCCTAACTTAAACTAGGAAAAAAATTTTAAAAAAAATTCTTAACGAAAAAAGAAACAAAAAACAAATTCATAACGAAAAAGAAATTATATAAGCACAAAAATAAAAATAAAAACTTAAACTCAAAGCGAAACTTTTTGTTACGTTTTTAATTACGTATAAAATAAACGTTATTAAAAGCTCAACTTTTTAAACGTTAAAACGTTTTATAGCGTTTAACTTAATAAGTTACGCAAAACATTTTTAAATTAAATTACAAATTACTACTAATGATTGTTTAATAAATGAACAATTTTTATTAAGTTTATTAAAAAGTGTTGAATATAATATTTTTAAATTGTATAAACATTTGTTTTTTCAAAAAAGTTGCAAAAAAAAATTGTTTAAAAAATAACGTAATCTTTTTACTAATTTCATGCACTAATTAGTAAGTCTAATTAAAAAATGGTTTTAAACTTTTTTATTTGTAAAAAAAGAAAAATAAATAAATAAATAAAATGTGCCTGCGATTTAAATAAATAAACTGCCTACAAGCATTTTAATTTAATTTTAATTTGAGCATTACAACTTTATTAATAAGGGCTTCGCGTAACGAATGTAAAAATTATTATAAAATATTAAAATTCATTCATTCCTAACAAAATTAAAAAAAAAAATTGTTTACAAAAATAAAATGTTTATTTAATACATTTAAAAAAATCGTAAGTTCAATTATAAAAATTATTTGTATGAACATTACAAAATGCTTAAAAACTTTTTCATTAATCAACAAAATACATGCTTATATAAGTAAATAAAGTTATTTTATATTCTTGTGTAATTCACATAAAATCTGTAAAAGCTAGTAGTCACAAAAGCTTTATTCACAAATTAAAGTTAAAAATACATGCCTACATAAAAAAAAACTTATATATAACGTTTTCTATTAATTTACACATGTGTTTATGTAAACAATAACTATATATATATATATATATATATATATATATATATATATATATATATATATATATATATATATATATATATATATATATATATATATATATATATATATATATATATATATATATATATATATATATATATATATATATATATATATATGCAACACAGGCGTTTCATATAACTTTACATGTATAATAAACCTGTCAATCCACCTTTCAAAAATATAGTCCTCCATCCAACCGGATTTTTTTACACCATACATTTCATTTTCTAGTCCATTTGGACACCATGCATTATAAAGGTGGATGGCTTTGTAGACGACAAATGGAGATAGACACTAGCCAATTGCTGACCCACAAAACAATACAGTATACATTGATTTACCACATGATGGAGCAATATGATAGTCTGTTTTTGATGTTTTACGAACAAAGATTTTACCTGCTGTAGGATCTGTATGTAAACCTATTTTATCTAAATTAAATATGCAATGTGGTCTATCAAATAAATTATTATCATTTTATATCTCCACATATAATCAAAAAAATCTGTCAATGTTTTTAGAGAAAAATCATTAGCTCTTGCTTTTGTCAAAAGTTAAGGTTTTCTTTATCCAAGAATTACATTCCATCTTTTTTCAAAAGACATGCACCAGTCTTTGACAGTTAATGTTATAAAGGATTTAACCATCAGTTAGATATCTTCTCTATCTTGTTAAAATTTCTTATTAGCTAAGTACATCAGGGCTTCTACTAGAAGATTTTCCTCAGTTTTCTTTAAAACAAAGACACAACCACTTCCAATTCTTTTGTCATTTCTTTAGATTTGATCATGAGATCGTGTGTATAATGTCCCATAAGAAATTCCAGAAGACTTTTATACGCTGTATACTGACTCTCCTTTCTTAACTAGCTATATGGCAGTCATTAATTTGCTGTGATCTTATGTATTAATACTTTTGCGCTGGTATTCATGAAGCATAATATTTTATTTCAGTCATTATTTAATCTAAAATATTTTAAAACAAACTTTAATTATATAAAGTATATAATTTGATTATTAAATAAAGAGAAATACAAAAATAAAATATAAAACATTTAGATGGGAATTTAAAATTTACTCTAGCCATTCAGCCATTCAGGGAAAACAAATTTGAACTACGATCTTAACGTGAATAGTCCAGAAGCATTACATAAAACTATTATATGTAACTGAAAAATGAATAATACTATATTAAAAAGCAAAAGCATAAGTGTATATTTAAATCTTATGTAGCTTATGATTTTGTAATAAAATACGATGTTAGTTGGATTTTATATACTTTATATATATATATATCCATTTTACCCCTCTATTATTTTACCTGTATATCCATTTTGCCCCATTTTAGATTTTTGTTTATTTATCAATATGGTTTATTGATAAATAAACAAAAAACTAAAATGGGGTAAAACAGAACTTATAAATTAAATTTTGCATATTGTTACATTATAGTCCAACTAATAAATATATATCATTAAACTTCCATAAATAATATTACTGAAGTCTGCAGACAAAAGTTTTAAAACATGTTTTTAATATTTTTTTCAAAATAACATGTTTTACATATTAACTATTCATGTAAATCAAATATAAACATTGTTAATGCAAAAAACAGAAGCCAATTATGTGAAGAAACTGATGGTAATTTTCAGGTTTTAGAATTATTTATACAACCCTCGGAATTAGGGTTGGCATTCGGCATTGATACTTATTGAATATATCCATATTACCCCAACAATCCATAATACACCATGCTACCCTATAAAATGAAAAAAAAATTTACTTTTTTAAAAGGTAAGGAAAAATTGATTATGGTTTCCAATTTTTTATATTTATTTTTTAGTTCTTAATACAGTTTTCTTGTTTATTAAAATCTTATTTGTTGTCTTACTTGTAGTAAACTCTTCAGCTTTATTTATACAACTATTGTATTGTTACATAAGTTTGTTAACTGCAATGCAACCTTATTGTGTTACATAAAGCGTCTTCAGAATATGTCCAACTGACTCTTAGGCTTTTGATATATACAATTCCAGCTGTCAACAATTCAATTTGTGAACAAGTTACTGATATTATTATTAAATAAAACTGTCTCTTTGACTAGTTGAATTCTAATACCAAGGCGAGGCGCATAACAAATCAGAGTGTGGTGCCAGGCTACAAGACTGTTAAGTCTCCGCGATGACGTCTATCTTTAAGGGTGGTCAGTTCAAAAATACAGTCTTTTTTCATAAAGTAGATGGTGTATATTATGAGCTATTTATCTGCGCATCTCTGATGTCTCTTTTAGATATTTATTTAGAGAATTCAAGATAAGAATGCTCATATATTATATTTAATTTTTTCCATAATGGTGCGTTGCACAAAACAACTGTTCCTTTAAGCATACCAAGCATTTTGATATTTGATTTAATTGTCTGACATTTTAATAAATTTATTGGTATCCTATGTTTCTTTAGAACCTCCCTGACATTCAAGCAGTCCTCTATTTATAGGTTTTAGCATTCTTCCAAAAACTGACCTGTTGATTAAATTATTTTTAAAAATCAAAAGACGATTCTCTGAATCAGCGTGGAAAATAACAGCTGGTCAACAGTCAACACCCACCTGAAATGATAAAAATTGCTATTTTGACCTCCCTAAATAAACTCTTCCAATACAAGAGTTTTGAAAAATAAGATTTGACAAACATTCAGGGTGTAGTTTGAAAAATAAGATTTGACAAACATTCAGGGTCTAGTTTGAAAAATGCATTTTTTTTTTTTTTTTTTAATTCACCTGCTCAAGGCCGAGAAGGCCACTACAGGCGAGGAGGCTACTTATTTGTGGTAACAACCCTCTCTCAACTCATTAACTCCGAAACACGAACCTTGACGAGGTCGCTGTGCGGAGAAACAAGTTGCATATACTGCAATTTCATAAAATCTTTCAAATTTTGAAATAGGGCTGTAAATAGTTTTATTATTAACTTTAATTCGCTTAGTTGACATGTATTTTATATGACATATTTAGATTATTTTCATTTTACTGGTAGTGAAAATTTTTATAAGTGATTGAATTTTTAAATTTTATTATTTCAAGAAAAATATTCAATATTTTATTTTATTAATAATATAATGAATACATAATAGTTGCTGTATTTAAACTAAGAATTTTTTTTTTTTTTAATAGTTCTTTGTCACTTAGCTTTGGTTATTCCTTTATATCTTTTTATTTATTTTCCCATAAGTTTTTGGCATAAAATGCAAATGAATGAATAGTTTATAATTAAATATAAAATTACCAATTGGGCGTTAGCACTTTTTTCTGTAATAGGGTTCTTTATAAAATGAATATGTTTACTGAAAATCTTGTTATCCGTAACTTGAGTAATTCTTATAGTGGTGTTTCATAAACTTAATATTAACTATTTAGTTTAAATAGTATCTGTGCATTAAGTTTATTATTTATAAACATTTAAGTTTCATCAAAAATTGTCTTTTTAATATTAAGTATTTAGTTTAAATAGTATCTGTGCATAAAGTTAATTGCATCATTATTAACAAATTAGCATTATCAGTTTTGAAAATTATTTTAATGAATAGATATATAAAATGTGCAATCATTTTTCTTAACATCAATGACCTTTAAAGGATTGAAATTCTTATTTTATTATTATTTGAAATTGTTGCATGTAACTAAAACGATTCCTCTTTGAACTAAATGTTTGTTTTTGTTTTTTTATTCAAACTTTTCTTCTTTTTTTTTTTTTTTTTTTTTTTCTTTTTTTTTCTCTTTTTTTGTAGCTTCATCCCCCGTTTGCAAAATTTTTGGAATGAATGAAGTATTTTTAGATAAATTTAAAATCATCAATTGCGCATTTGCACTTTTTTTTTATTTTTATTAATCACTTAATCAAAAAATCAGACGAAACATGTATTTGAAAAAAACATTTTTATTAAAAACTTTGTTTAATGTAACATAATGCAATTGTAATGTTATGTAACATAAGAAATTGCTAGAGTAGCACTTTTCATAAAATGAATTTAATTTTTTTAAGTATCAAGTATTCAGTTGATATTTTTTCAATATTTAAAAAAATATTGTAATATGTTTTTAAAAAATTCAACATTAAATTTAATTTCTTGGATGTTACTAATTACCTGCTATGTTATTTTACAATAACATTAGCAGGTAGTTTTAACATTACTTATATGTAAATTTCCATTAAAAATTGATTTTATTTAAAATTATTATTGTAAAAGTAATAAGAATTTCTTAATTTTCAAGCATTAAGTTATTGTAATTGTCATGTTCAGTCATAAAGTACTCTTACTAAGATAATAACTTGAATGAAAAAAAGTTGAATAAAAAAAACAATTGACCGTCAGTTCTATGAGTAAGCCTGTTAAATTGACCGCTTGTCTTCAATTTCTTATTTTCCGTGCTGTTTGAATAGTGGATTTACTACATCTAATTTTATGTTATTTTTTATTTAAAAAATTTTTAATAAAAAATATTTTGAAGGGACCCTAATGACCTTTGAATACTTCAAGGGTGCCTAATATTATCTGAAAAAAAATTTCAAAAAGTTATGTCAACCTGGTAGTAAAAGTAGTAAAATTTTATAAAAATTTCAGAATTAGTAGTCATTTTATATAGAATTTTGTAAAGAATTATTTTTTTATATCATTTCTTGAAAAAGTTAAGTTCTTCACATTTTTTTAACAAATTTTTTTTAAACGTGTTTTTTTTTTTTTAATAAAAAAGCTGTTTTTAAAATTTTTTATAAAATTACACTTCTTTTGAGTAGCAGGTTGAGTACCAGGTAGATTATTATATTAGGGACCTTAAATATTTAAGGCTCAAGTTGGACCTATTTTACATACAGTAGCGTGCAAAAGTTTAGAAACACCTACTTTTTTTCAGTTTTTAACGCATAACTTTTCACAAACTTTCTCAAATAACCTGAAATTTTTACTAAATGTGCTCTATATTTTTACAATTCAAAATCCATTTCAAAAAATTTTTTAAACTCACTGGTCAATTAGTTTTAATTGTTTTTTTTTTTTTTGAAAAGGCCTTAGTGTAAAAGTTTAGAAACAGCTGAATCTAGATTATTATTTATTTCAATAAAGCTGAAATTTACAATTTTTAAAATTAAATTTACAATATTTTAATAAAATAGTTTCAATAAAAAAGTTAGTATTTGGTGGCATATCCATTTGCCTTTGAAACAGCATCACAGCGACGAGGCATCGAATCAACTAAATTAATGAGAACATCCTATTATACCAACATTTTTTAATCAAAGCAAATAAATTGTCTTTGTTAGTTGGTTTTCTACCAACTAATTGCCTGTCAATGTACTCTCAAAGATGCTCAATTGTATTGAGATCTGGGCTCTGTGAAGGCCATTCAAGAACCTTGACTTTTTTTGATTAAAAGTATTTCTTAACAGATCTTGCACTTGAGTTTTTATCTTGTTGAAAGATCCAATTGCAATTCATTTTGTCCTATGCATTGGGTAGCATAATGTTCTTAATTATGTCTAAATAAACTTTTTGGTCCATAATACCTTCTATGCAATAAATGGGACCCAAGTTGTCACGACCAAAATACCCCTAAATCATAACATTTCCTCTTCGATGTTTAACAGTAAGTAACTGATATTTTGGATTGAATCTGTCTCCTATTGGGTGTCTGACATATCTAATTCTGTTACTACTGAATAGTATAAACTTTGATTCATCAGAGAAAAGGACTTTTGACCAATAATTAACTGTCCAACTGAGATGATCTCTCGGAAATTATATTATGGTTCTTAAATTTCTGGCAGATATAAGAGGTTTCTTAACTGGATGGCGACCATACAGATTAATTTGTCATAATCAACGTTTAGTTTTATCAACGCTACAGTTTGTGTCATGAAACTGATGCATAATTAAATTAAGTTCGACAGCAGCCATGCGAGGATTATTCTTACAATACCTTACTAATAATCTATCAGCCTTTTCAGTTATAACTTTAGGTCTTCCAGAGCAAGGCTTGCTTTCAATAGTTTTGCGCTGACTGTTTTTATAATTAATTTCTTTATTTTATCTGAAATTTCCTTAGCCTTTCCCATGTTTTTAAACATGGGAAAACTTCCTTAAACATGGGAAACTTCCTTAGCCTTTCCCATGTTTTACTATGTAATTGAATTATAAAACTTCACAAATAATTTATCAATTAGTTATACTTCATTGTTTTTGAAATATCTTAAGTTAATTCAAATAATAAATTTCATAAAAATTTGACCTTATAATGCTTTTGTTTACAAAAACCTGATATAATTGCGGGTTAGTGTTTCTAAACTTTTGCACGGAAGCCGTTTCAAAAAAACAATTAAAATTATTTGACCGGTGAATTTTATAAATTTTGTGAATTGGATTTTGAATTGTAATAATATAGGCACATTCGGTAAAAATTTCAGGTTATTTGAGAAAGTTCATGAAAAGTTATGCGTTAAAAACTAAAAAAAAGTAGCTGTTTCTAAACTTTTGCACGCTACTGTAAATATTAAATAAAATTTATTATTTATTTAAAAATTTTTAAAACTTAGTGTTATATACAACAAACTTAAAGGTGTAACTTAAAATTTTCAAAAATAGTAGTTTTCAGACCACCTCAATATGTGAAAAATATATGAGAAGCCCGTCCGCAAAATGTGCAGACAGGCTTCTCTGCGCGTTGCAGACAAATATATATATATATATATATATATATATATATATATATATATATATATATATATATATATATATTAAAAAAATAAAAATTATGAGTTATTTTCATTTCCACTTTTTATATACTGAAATCTATTAAAAAACTTTGATCCTAACAATGAACAAAGAAGACATCAATTTCTGTTGATACGCATCTTAAAGTAGTTTAGTTTTTAGTTGTTTGTTCTAAGTCAGTTTATTTGAACTTTGCGCATTTTGCAAATGTGTTCCTCGTATATATATATATATATATATATATATATATATATATATATATATATATATATATATATATATATATATATATATATATATATATATATATATATATATATATATATCAGTTTAAATAGTTTTTTTTTAGTTACCTGGAATTTTAACTCATATTTGTTAAAAAAAGTTTTTGTTTTATATATATATTTATATATTTATATATATATATATATATATAATGTTTTAAATTAGGCTTGGGTAAAAACATATTTTTTCTATTGAACAAATTTATTTTTTTTTAAATTCAAAATCAGGCTCGTCTTAAGCGTGAGCGTGAAAAACAACAAAGAAAGGAAGCATTTATGATGGGTCAGACACAAATCAGAGGAAAGCAGCAAAGGAAAAACCAAAAGAATTTTCAATTTAGAAGATGGAATGATAGACAACAGGTATTTTCCGTTCCCTAGTTGTTTTTTGTTGTTGTTGTTGTTGTTGTTGTTTTTTTGTTTTTTTTTTGTTTAATTTTTTGTTTGATTATTAAATATTATACTTATGTATAATGTTCAATAATCAAACCATTATAATCAAAATAAATAACAAATAAAATTTATTTTTATTAAATTTTCAAAACTTATAATTATTACCAAACTAAAATTAATAAAAACTTTTAATTCATAGTATTATTATAATTGGTATATATATATATATATATATATATATATATATATATATATATATATATATATATATATATATATATATATATATATATATATATATATATATATATATATATATATATATATTATAATATAGTATGTTTATAATATTGTTAATACTAATATTAATTTACAAATTTAGTAATTTTAAATTATTCATTAATTTGAATTAAGTTATTTTAATTTAATATTTTATTTATATGTTAGTAATGGTATTAAATGTTGTTTCTTGTTTATTTTACTCACCATAAAACAATAGAAGTAAAAAGGTTTTCAATTATTTTATAGTTCACTTGAAATAGTTTTAATTTTTAGATTCAAAAGCATAGGAATGCATCTGTTGATATTAAAGATAATTGGAGGGTTATTGAGGAAATGGACTTTCCACGGTTATCGAAGCTCAAACTACCTGATTTACCAGAACCTGTGGATTTGTAAGTGATTTTTTTTTTGTATGTAAAAAAATTAAGCATATGTTAAAAGGTTTTTAATAAAGTTTAGTTTTATCAATAAAAATTAGCATATGTTAAAAGGTTTTTAATAAAATTAAGACTAAAACAATTAAAATGTTTTCATAAAAGTTAACAACGCATAAAAGTTCAAATAACATTTTTGATTTGTTTTTTATCAAGTGGTAAAATTAATTCTAAGCAGGTTATACGTTTTTATAAATATTTTTTATAAAGTTTTTCTTTATGACATAAAACTATAACATTTGTCATGTTAAATTTTAAAGCTTTAATTTGTCTTCTGTTAAGTTTGTCATGTTAAATTTTAAATGACAGTTATTTGAAGGTGTTATTGTTTCTAAGCAACAAAGATTATTTAACTATAATAGTTTTTTGTGTGCTGACCATAATATCACAACATACCTTTTTTTTTTTTACAATTTAATGTTCGTAATATTACGTTCTTAATAACCATTGGTATCCAGTCACTGTGGTTCTCATAATATTTCATTTTATTTTATTTTTTGCATTTACTTGCTGGATGGCAAAGCCAAATCACAACAGTGTTGGACATTTTAGCAGTAATCAAATACTTTATATACTAGAAATCGTGACTACTTTGGTATATATTTTCAATAATTTTATTTTCAATTTACTCTCTAACAGATATTTCTGTAAAATTAAAAACTAATAAAAATCATTTACACCTTAACCAGTTATTTTAGAATAATAATTCTTATAACATTTTAAAATATATCTTTTTATGATTGATTTCATCTGATAATATTAATACGCTAATTTAATATTATTAGTCAAATTACATCATTTTCTAGTCTTTTCTATTTTAAAGTAGTTTCTAGGCTTTTCTATACGCGGGTTTTTTTTTTAATTTTATTTACTAACAACGCGTATTACGGGTTGCTTACTGCTAGTATCAATAAATTTGGCTAATTTAAAACATTTGAATTTTTAAATAATTCTCTAAAGTTTCCCTTTAAAATAGTTCATAGACTTTTTCCGGGAATTCCCAGAATTCCGGAAATTCACTTAAAACTCTTAATTTTCCAGAATTTTGGAATGTTTTTCAAAGAATTAACAATGTTTTTTGTTAATTCTTTGAAAAAAAATATATGCATTTTTACATAAAATTTTAAATACGAAAACTTTTGCATTTTAACAAATATGTTTACTATAATTAAAATTTTCACAAGATCAATTTTCATAACAATTTTTTTCCTTTTTTTTTTTTTTTTTGCTTTTTAATTCATTCAAATAAACTTTTTCAAATATTAGAAATTCCATTTTGTAAAAAATTAAATAATCTAAATTCCCTTTTAAAAGTTTACGAAAGTTTTTGGTGTCTGTTAATACAATCAATCTTTAACAAAATAATTTTCCAGGATTTTCAGGGATTTTCATAGGAAAAAAAATTTCCAGGATTTTCATAAAGTCAAATACTCATCTATGATAGTTGGTGTTTTTGTTTTATACATTCCCAAATAGCTTTAGTATAATTTTTTACTGGTGGATTTTAAAATTACCACATATTTTCAGACCTTAATTTTTTTTTTAAATAACTTTTTTAATAATAATTCTTAAATTAATTGGAGTTAATTTATAATTAATAGTTTTTATTAAATTTTATTGACTTAAATTTAATTGAGTTAATTTATAATTAATTAATCTGAATCTAAAATCTTAAATTAACTTGAGTTAATTTATAATTTTTAAATAAACTTGAGTTGATTTTTAATAATAATTCTTAAATTAATTTGAGTTGAGAAACAATAAATTAAAATATGTAAGTTTTGTTTGATATTATTCTTGCAGTCATAAGTTTATTATTTTCTTTTTTCTTTAATTTTTGCAATATAATAAATGACCCTTTTAAAACAGTGTTGACTATTTTTTTATTTACTGAGAAGACCAATATTATTACCAGAATTCACAATTTTGATCATTTATTTCGCGACAAATTAAATATTTTTAGGTACAAAGCAGGAACACTTGAATACTATGATAAAATGTATGATCGTATTACTACTAAAAATGAGCGTTTACTTGAATCAAATAATCGTACATTTCATCGTGTTACTACAACAGATGATCCCATCATTAGAAAACTTGCCACAAAAGGAAATGTGTTTGGTACAGATGCCATTATTTCTACTCTTATGTGTTGTACAAGATCTGTTCATCCATGGGATATTATAGTACATCGTGTTGGAAAGAAATTATTTTTTGACAAAAGAGATGATTCAGATTTTGGTAAAAAAAAAGTTATATATATATATATATATACAAGTGATTGGTTTTAAATAATTTTTTCATTTTTTATAATTTTTTGTTTTGTTTTGTTTTGTTATTATAAAATATGGTTAACAATTATTTTTATTATAAATATTTAATTTTTTTTTTCATTGTTATTTATTGGTTAGATTTATTACCTGTTTATGAAACTACTCAAGAAGAAATGAAGGAAGAAGGCATTAATAGTCCAGCAAATCTTGCTGTTGAAGCTACCTATATAAACCAAAATTTTACACAACAATGTTTGAAAAAAGGAGAGTTTTTATCTTTTGAAAATGAAAATCCATTTGTTGAAAATAGCAGTGAAGAAGTCGCTTCTGTAGGATACAGGTGCTGTTTAATGAATTTTACAATTATTATTAACATTATGCATGTTTTTTTAAACTTGCAATTTTTTGTTTTGTTTTGTTGATTTACAGTATTGAGTATCCATGTTTAATTTTTTTTTATGAAAAGATTTTAGGTTTCTTATTTTTAAAAATTGGTATGAAAAAATGAAGAAATAAATTTTTTTTTTTTAAGTAATTGCATGCATCTAATTATATAAGTATAGAATAAAGGTAGACATTTTTTAAATCAATTAATTTGGTATAAGAAAGAATTAGCATGGTGGTAAAAAACCAAGTAATATATGAAACAAAAACTGGTTAAAGGGATCCCTAGGTGCTATAAAGATATGATATCATATGAAAGAGCATTAAAAAAATGTTTGATGTATTTTTTTTTTTTTTTTTTTTTAAACGTAATAATGAACACACACTAACAAATTTAATTTTCAAAAAAACACTTTTCTTCTATTAAAAAAAATGCGTCTTGTCCAAAGTTTATTGACTCTATTGCCTCAAAAAACTAACGTTTGGACGTCAAATTAAACAAAGTAGACAAAGTGTCATTATTGCAAACGTATTAGTTGGTAATTAAATTTAAAAGTAAAGTTGTTTTTTTTTAACTAACACATAATTACTTACAAGAATAAGTTTTGTAGCATATTGTGAAAATATATTTGTATATTGAATTTTTTTTTATAATTTTTATTTATATATTTGTGTTATAAGGGCAATTCCACTGCCAAAAATGAATAGAAGTCAAACTTTAAACTCTTTTTAGTCAGTTTTTAACAAATGAATATTGATGTAGACACATAAAAGTTTATTTAAAATATTTCCTTAGTACAAAAATAAATTAATTTCAGTCATTTTTATGGTTTCTGTTTAATTGTTATGGTTTTTACAGTTTAATAACATAAATTGCGTTTAAAACGTAGCAAATAAATGAAATTGTTTTAATTAATAAATTAAAAAATTATCGTCAATAATTCAAAAAACATCGTCAAAAACTTTATAAAAATTAGATACGACTTTTTTTTATAATTTATTGTTTCTTGAATAAAGGACTAATAAAAGTTTAAATATAATTAAGTTTTTCATTTAAATGGTTTTAAGTTGATGTTTTTATTCAATTTCTTTATTTCAATTGTTTTTCAATAAAAAAGAAACAAAAAAAATTTGGTTTAATAAATCGAATTATACTTCATGTTTAAAATAAGGCTTAAAAACATTAAAGTAAAAAATTGCCAGTTTTTATTAGCTTTTTTATGCTGTTTGAAAAAAAAATTAATAAAAAAGAATTAACTAATAATATGTTAATTAATAATTATTAGAATTAATAATAATAATAATCAATTCTTTTTTATTAGTTTTTTTTTCAAACTATAAAAATGCGAATAAAAGTCAGCAATTTGTTTGCTCTAACGTTTTTAAGCCTTATTTTAAATATTAAATTTTGATAAACAAAGATAAAAACCAAGCTGTTTTGTTAGAATGAAGAAAAAATTCTAATTAAGGTCTTTTCCTTTATCAATTTTATCGCTTTAACAACCTTGTAAAAATTTTCCACACAGAGATTTAAAGTAATTTAAATTCAAAAATATTTTATGTTGAACGAAAATCTCCGCGCGAAAGAGCAAATCATCCATTCATCTATCTATTCAGAATAATAAATTTTGTGTGACGTTCTTTATGATAAAAACATAACTTTTTAGAATTGCTAAAAAAATGAAAACCTAGAAAAAAGTAATTAAACAATCAAAAAAAAATTTTTAAGAAAAAATTAATCGCGAAAGTGTGAAAAGCAATCACGATAAGCTTAATACGAGCCCTGTAAGACTTTTTTTTAAGTTCTAAACTATTTAAAACTATTACTTAATAACTTTTTTTTAACGACGTCTTTCAACCGAATTCTATTATACTGTTTTTGCAAAACTAGTTAAAAAAAACTTGACTAAAACTTGAGAATATCTACTTGATCGAAGTATTCTAAAGTTGTTGTGAAATCGAAGTATTCTAAAGTTGTTGTGACATACTAACCTGATTTTTAACAACTAACAATCGAGTTTTAATGGTAAAAAAATTAAATCAAAATGGAGTTGTTTTTCAGTGATTTCGGCAATTGCTTTTTGTTAGCATGCATTTATTATTACAATTTAGTGAAAAAGAAAAAAAACTTACTTTTTTTTTATCCTCTTTCATATGAGATCATATGTTAGGAGCACTTAGGGATCCCTTTAATAATGACAAGGCAGATGTGGTTTTAATGGTTTGTGTTTATAACGGTAAGGCTAGATGTGGTGTGCAGATGGTTTGCTGAGCTGAAATTGTATATAGTATAACAAAAGTTTTAAAAAATATTGTTTCAAGTAAAAAATAAATTTCTTTTTACATATAGATATAGAAAATTTTCTCTTGGTGCTGATATTGATGTAGTAATTAGATGTGAACATGATGCTGTACTAACAACTCCAAATAATGAACTTCAATATCTTAATATAAAGACGCTAAATGAGTTTGACCCAAGGGTAGGTTAATATTCATTTTAATATTCATTTATTCTTATTTCTAATTACTTTTTTTATCTTATGTAATACTTGAATAACTAAATTAGTAAATAACTAAAATATTTTAAGTATAATAACATAATTATATATAATTAATTATAGAATAATATAATTATTCTACAGGGATTTTCTTTTTCTGGATATATCCAGAATTTCGAATATTTTTTTCAATTTAATTTTTTCTGGATATCCAAAACATTTTCCATTCATGCAAGTTTAGATGTATATCTTTTAGTAATATATTTGTTTTTTAAGCTTTTTCACTCATCACTCATGCAGTAATTCTGAAAAATTAAAAAAATTTTATGAACCACTCAGGTAAAAGCAAAATTAAAAGGAAATCAGGGGAAAACATATTCCGGATTTTTTCTGGATATTTTATCCATATAATTTTCCTGATTTTTAAAATGTGACTTGGGTGATCTATGATTGTAAATATGATTATTAATTATTGTAAGCATATTAAAGTGGCATGAAGTACTATATAATTTTTTCATTAAAAAAATACATGAAGTATGATTTGAATTTAAAAAATAACAATCATCTAATAAAAAGTATAAATGAACTGATACTAATATATTTTAAAATATAGTTAAATATTGCAGTATAATCTTTTGTAACGTAGTAGAGTATAATAGAATCAAAATTATATGACAAAGTCAAACATTTAAAAGTGTAGCTTGCATACGTAACAGCTAAAAATATAAATAGATAATGGAATATACTGATAGCTGCTATATTAAGCCAATTCATTCCTAAAGCTTCATTAAGCCAATTCATACTAAAGCACATACTGCAAATGAAAACGTTATAGAAAATTTTGAAATCAATTTTTTTTTTTTTTTTAATTTTTTTTTTTTTTTTTTTTGCAAATATTAAATACAGTATCTTAATAATCTTGATAAATCACAATTAGAAATTTTGTAAAAACTCAGTTTTTATATTATTTTATATTGCACTATATTTTCAACAAAAAGATTTTGAAACATTTTTTTTTTATTTCTTTTCAAAAATGAATGTTTTTAATTTATCATATTTTTAAAAACAATCTTGCAAAAAGCATAAATCATTTTTGCTCTTGTCACATAGTTGCAATATTTATTTTGTGGTGATTTGATTTTTGTCAGCATAAATCATTTTTGCTCTTGTCACATAGTTGCAATATTAATTTTGTGGTGATTTGATTTTTGTGATGTGACACTTGACAATCAGTTATGAAATGGATTCTCTGGGTAGAAGATTAAATTGTTTTTAAATATTTCTTGGATTGACATGCATGTTTTTAAACTTATAAAATAATTGTTTAAAATAATTAATTGGAGACTTTTTATCTGAGACTAGAAAAAGTAAAAATATAAAAACATAAACAGAAAAGCTGACATCAGATACTAATTTTAAATACAAGATGAACAAACAAAAACTTACATTTAAAAATATTTTAAACTTTATTAATGTTGATAAATATTTTGATCAGTTAAATTAATGTCATTTAACAGCTTGAAGTTCATTTTAAATTTGACACTTTCTAGTTGTATTTTTTAAGTTCTTTTTTTTCTTTTTTTGAAATCCTTACTCTTTTATTACTTACTCTCTTTTTCTTTATTCTTCCTTTTTCTTTATTTAATTTTACTGCAGAATCTTTTTATGACCTTAGTTTCTTATTGGATAAATAATTTTGTTTACTCTGGATTTTTATACTTTTTACCTAATTTATAGATAATGATCAACTTAATTACTACTTAATTATTTCACTCAAAACAAGGCTGCAAGCAACCTTTATTAAGTTTGGACTTATTTGAAAACAAAGAATATTTGTTGAAAGCAAAAAAATGGTTGAGAGAAGACTCAAACAGTTGTAGGTTGTATGAGTCGGAAAACAAGATGATGGGAGTGAAAGTTTTAAAGCATTGATGTGCCAGGAAAAATAGTAGATCAAGGTTCAATTTATCAGTCGGACATCGCCGTCCCTCTGATAATTTTTGAGATCTGCTAGAGGAGAGACAATTGTTGATTTTTGTACTGACAATTGTTGATTTTTTCAGTAAAAATGAATGGTTGGTTGCCCCCATATATCAAATCTCAAAAACAGTCCAGGGGGAAGCAATATCCGACCATTAAATTGAGCCCTGCTAGATAATTAAAAGTTTTTAGGGCATAAATAAACAGATGCAGTCAAAAGATGCGACTTTGCATCAAAATTGATCAAATAATAAAAATAACTATTATAGATTTACAGTAGTTAATGACACTGTTGAAGATTTTCCGAATGTCTTTTTGAACCTAAATTTAAAACCTATTTTTGGGGAATAAATATTAGATTTAATAAACTGATAAATTTGGAGCTTAGCATCAAACAGCACTTTTTTTACATTAATTTCATTCAATAATAAAAAAGCGTTTGTTCTCAAGAGAATTTTTTTTGTGATTAGGAATGCATCATTCTACCCCATGTATAAAAACTATTTGGTAGAATAAGGCTCAATTTGACCAGAAGGAATTAAAGCTTCTTTGAATTGTTAAAAAGTTAGTTTTTCAAAAGGTGATGAAAAGATACTACAAAGACAGTAATTTGTATTTAGACAGTATTTGTAAAAAAATTGCAACTTTTAGGTTGATGGTGTTTTATGTTTAATAATTACTTTTGTTGTGTTTTAACGCTGAAACCACTAAATGGGACACCCTCTATGCGCAACATATCACTGTTAATACTCTAATATTTTACACCTGTTGGTGGAATTGGCTTCTCTAATTGCTAATTCCATTAACTTTTTAACAAGCTAATTTCATCAGCTGTAAAATCCATTAATAGAGTTGAGAATATTTAACCTTTATCATCCTGGAAAGAAAACCATGTAACACACGTTTACATCTATGCCAGCCTAATAGATAAAAAAAGGGGTGCATTATTATAGAGATGCCATCTAGGCATCTAGAATAAGTATTTTTTTAGAGATACCATAATCTCTAGCTTTTACCCAACCAATTATCTTACATATTATTTTTGTTATACAATTTTAGTTAATAGCAGTTATTAAACAGGTCTTATTACAATTGCTACCTGTAATAAATATCTGTTTGAAACAGTTTTGGTGGTTTTGATGGTTTTTTGACAAAAAAATATATCTGAGACTTTTTTGGTTTAACATAGTAAATTTTTGCATTTACAGATCAGTAAAATTGATTGGAGGCAAAAGCTTGATTCACAGACTGGTTCCTGTCTTGCCACTGAATTGAAGAACAACAGTAATAAAATGGCTAAATGGACTTGTAATGCTATACTTGCTGGATCTGACACTCTTAAATTTGGGTACGCACTCTTTTTTAATTTCTTTAAATTCAAGATTTTTTGAAATTTAAAAAAATGAACAAAACATACATTTTTTTCAATATCTGACCTAGTAGATTTTGAGAGTTAGTTTTTCTTCTTTTTTTCTTTAGTTTCAATTTTTATAGACGCATAATGCAAATTAAAAATAGTTTCGTAGACACTGGCATGTTAAGTTGAAGTATTTTATTTTTTGTAGACTTAAGCATTTAAAACAACATTTTATCACAGTAATATTAAATTTAAAATTTAAGTTCTTTTCCTGGTAAAAAACTTGCTAGAAAATTTCTTACTTATAAAAATTTTTTAAAAATATTGATTTTTTTAGTTTTAATTTTTAAAAATTAAATAAAAATTTGTATTTTAAATTTTCTATAGGTTTTATATTTGATAAGATTTAAAATTAGTCAATTTAATTCAAGTTTAAGGTAATAATAAAAAAATTTATTCCTTGAAATCATTTTTTTATTAAGATTTGAGATTTATGCAGTTACAAATGTTGAGAGAGTTAACAATTATAAAATAAATTTTCAGTTATTCAGAGTTTTTTTGATTTGAAGATGGTGTTCATTTTTTCTCCTGCAACAAATGAAAAAATAGATTAAAAATAGTTCTATAGTATTCTTGTAGGTTGTTTTTTTTAAATATTGTTTATTATATGTCTTCATGATAGTTCAATTGGTTTTTACTTTCTTTTTCTGTTTATAAAAATGTATAGTTATGTTTCTCGTGTTGCACTTAATGATGCATCTCGACATGTCATTCTTGGTACCCAGCAGTTCAAACCAAAAGCATTTGCTCAACAAATAGTTCTAGATATGGACAATGCTTGGGGCATTTTGCGTTGCATTGTAGATACTTGTATGAAGTTAGAAGAAGGAAAGTATCTACTACTTAAAGATCCAAACAGGGTAAGAAGATTTATATATTATATTATATATATATATATATATATATATATATATATATATATATATATATATATATATATATATATATATAATATATATATATATATAAACACGCAATATTAAATATAGAACGTTTTTATCTTGGTTCATTTCCATGTTTTTGTTTAGGGTGTTCTCTTATTGTACGACATACCCGATAATTCATTTGAAAGTGACAGTGATGAAGTCGAAGAGGGTATGGTTTCTTGCATTTTAATGATTATTAATTTTTGATTCTTTCACTATTATTAATTATTGTTTAATATTTATTTAGATGACGACGACGAAGATGATCAAAAAAAATAAAATTCATATTTTTATAAAATGAATAAAATAAACAAAGATGTTTTTGTTGTTTTTCATAATAAATTTTTTTTAGTTGTTAAACTGTAACTGGACAATCCAGCGAGTGTGGTTTATCACACTTTGACGGCATTAGCCCAAATATATATTTGAAAATGTTTAGTTAAAATTTCTGTGATTTGGCGTTTGTGACTTAACTTATCTAATCTATTCTTAAATTGATGGACAGTTTTTGAGGTAACAACAGTTTCTGGTTAAGCGTTCCATAAATTGGCTATAAGATTTAATAAAAAATGATGCCGAGGTAAATAGTTCACAATTTTTCTTTCATATTTAAGATTGTGACCTCGATTAATTGAATCAATTTCAAGGTTCGGTTAATTAATTAAATTTATTTCCTCAAATCTGTTTAGTAATGTAAACACTTGTATTAAATTCCCACGTTCCCTCCTTGTTTTCAATGTAAATATATCTAATATTTTCAATCTCTTTTCATAATTAATTTTCCTTAATGATGGAATTAATCTAGTCATCCTGTGTTGAACTTTTTCCAAAAGTGATGTCTTCTTTAAAATAAGGTGACAAAACAGGTACTGCAACTCATAAGAGGTCTAATAAATACTTTATACATTGTTTTAACCAATTTTGCATATATTCGTTAAAATGTCATCTTTAACATACCCATCATTGATTTTGTTTTAGAAGTACTTGGTATATTTTGTTTTTTCCATTTCATGTTTATGATTTCATTAAAAATATACACCTAAATCTCTCTCGCATTAAGAATCTTTCAGTTTAATGCCATTTAAAGTATATTTCAATCGCGGATTATTTATACCATAATGCGTTATGACACATTTGCTAGATTTAAAACCCAAGAGCCACTTTTTAGACTATTGCTCTGTACTACCCAGATCTTTTTGCAAGCTGTTTTCAACATTTATTTCATTAACTTTTGAAAGAATTTGTGTATCATCTGCATCCAATTCTGACTTCTTTTTAAATATATTTGATATATCATTAATAAAAATAACAAATAATAAGGGCCCTATTACGGATCCTTGCGGAACACCAGTGAAAATTTCGCGCCATGAAGAAACAATATCACCTTGGATAACTCTTTGAGTTCGGTTTTTTAAAAAAGTTCAATCTAATTTAATAATAAACCACTAATTCCATATGAAGATAGTTTAATCAATAGTATTTTGCAAGCAACAGAATTAAAAGCTTTAACAAAATCTAAAAGTGTTTCACCGAAATACCAATCGATAAATTAAATGAAATATAATCCAACGCCTCTAATAAGTTTGTTGTACAAGACCTCCCTTTAACAAAATCATGTTGTGACATTGATATAAATTTATATTTCATTAAATATGATTGTATGCAGTCTCTGACTATACCTTCCATAATTTTACAAGTAATTGACGTCAATGACACTGGTCTATAATATGCAGCTTCTAATTTATCTCCCTTTTTGAATAATGATGTAATATGGACAGCAGCAAAGTCCATTGAGTTGTTATTTCACTTTTAACAAAAAATTAAAGTTAATGGCAATGCTACGGAATCCGCACAATTTTTCAAAGTCAACGGATGTATAGAATCAACTCCATATGTTTTATTGATATCAACATGTTTCAATCAATTTAAAACACCCAAATAATCTATATTTACTGCATCAATAATAGTACCCCTAAATTCTCGATTTGTGAAAGCTCTTCTGTACAATTTTTGATGGTAAACACAATTTGAAATTGTTTATTTAAAATTTCAACAATTTCTTTTTGATCATTTGTTACGCAACCAGTTTGATCTCTTAATGTTTTAATTACTTGTTTAATCATTTTTTAACTAATCACATATTCAGGGCCGTACCGAGCCAACTTTGCGCTTTGTTTTAATTAATTGTTTAATCATTTTTTAACTAATCACATATTCAGGGCCGTACCGAGCCAACTTTGCGCTTTGGGCAAGAAAGAAAAATTGCGCCTTTCGCCTCCCTCCCCCTCCCATCCACACAAAAAAAAAAATTAAAATCAAAAAAGGATTTATTGATCACAAAATTTATCATATCATGTGTAAACAACAATTTGTTATGAATAATGCACAAACTTCAGATCAAATTCACTTTTCTAGCTTTTTTGAATGCAAATTCACTAATGATGTCATCAAAATCAAGGTAGTCGACCACTTTTTGTTCAATTGAAACTATAGACAGACTAGAGAAACGTTCTTGGTCTATAGTTAATCTCATGTAGTTTTTTAGAAGCTTATGTTAACTGAAACTTCTTACACACGTAGCAACGATGACTGATATGGTGAGGAAGATGCGAATAGCAATTACCGTGTTAGGATAAGCATCAGTCAATGAATATTTATAAATGAGCTGCAAAATGTCAATTGGCTGAAAATCAGAAGAATCCAAATCTGTCGTGTAAATTTGAGATAAGTTTTTGGTTTTTGTCTTAAGTTCATCCAATGAACTTTTAGATAGTGAATGCCCACAGAAGAACTCAAAATCGGAGGATACAGCTGACATAGACTCAAACCGCCATTCAATTTGTGTAATAATGCTGTTAAACACAAGATTGCACTGTGATCTGAATTCTGTTTCTCCTGTGAGGAGGTGAAAGTCGTCTTCAACTTCATAAAGTGCCATCCTCTTTACTTTGCGCTTCCTATTAACTGGAAAATCACCTTCAATTCTATTCTGTTCGGCTGTTTCTGCGGCATCTTTGATAATTTTTTCTACACCAACATCTCACAAATTCTGAATGAAAGCCTTTAATGCTTTTATTTTTTTGCCGCAATGTCAATTGAAACATTTTTATACTGAAGCAATTTGTTTTCCCGATCAATTAATGAAAGAATTTGACACCAAAAATCCAACAAACACAAAAAATTGAAATCAATTTAAATGATAAGAGCTTTTGCACTGTATATTGTGACATCATTTGCCATAGGATAATAGATTTTAAAACTTGAAGAACTTATTTTATTTGTTTGTGCAATGGTGTGATTGCTTCTTTTTTGGCAGACCACCTTGTGTCACTTTTTTCTTTAATGAGATGGTCAATGTTTTCATTAATGCTTCTCATCTTAATTTAGAACTTGAAAAAAGTTAAAGTTGGTTTGAACTTTTCCAAAAAGTATAATCATGAGTGGGGAAACCTCAGCAGCATGGGCACCAACAAAAGTGCGTGCTGCAAAAGGAACAAATCTTACTGATTCACAAAGAAAATTGATGTGAGCTTAGACGCCATTGTATTTTCCAAACATATTGGCTCTATTGCCATAACCTTGGCCGCGTCAATCAGAAATCTTTATAACGTCTTTTTCTAATTTTTCAGTGATCTCTTTTGCAAGACTTTTTTGGTTTTTTGGTGACATTTAATGAAGTCAACAAAGCTTTCCTCAATTGTAGAGGTTTCATCATTGATGTGGACATACCTAATTATTTGGGCCATCTGCTCTTTATGGGAGGAATCTGGAGTGCAGTCAAACAAAACAGAGTAGTATTTAGCTTCTTTAATGTTTGAAAATATTTCATTTCTGTCTTTCTGCCCAAGTGACTCAATCAACTCATTTTGTATTTGAAGAGAAAAGGAGGACGTTGTAGTTTACTTTGCTTTAACAGATACAATGTGTTCAGCCACTAAAGGATAATAATTGCTTATCAGCTCAATCAAGTTCAGAAAAATGCCATCATTTTGTTGACCGATGAAGTCTATTGTGCCCCGAAGGGAAAGATTGTTCCTGGCACAAAACAAAATTACATCAACAATAACTTTTAAGATGTCTCTCCACCTTTTCATTTCTCCATTGATAACTCTCTGCTGATCAAAATCCATGGTTTTTCCTACTTTGAGGTTTTTTTCAAGAATTTCCCAATCAGAATTGCATCCTTAGTGTTCATTGCTGTTTTCATGTTCAGGAACTCTTGGGTTTGGTTTTCCCCAGTCACAAATTCTTTTTAAATTTCTGAGAAATTGTTGGTTTTTGCTGTTGAAAATAACAAACAGCAAAAACAAAACAATGAATCTTTTTTATTGCTGTACAGCAACCAATGGCGAACAAATTTTTCACCATTGGGATGAATTTTTTCATACCATTTTGTGCTGAAGTATCGCTTTCTGTTGTCAAAGTCACACAGCGTGTATGGGAAAAATTGTCTTCTTTCTTGCTCTGGCCCATGTTGAATCAAAAGACATCTTATGTTGTCCGTTAGTTAAGGCCATGTTGCTGGATCTCTGCATTGAAGGTTTTTTCTTAAGGATAGCGGAATATCTGATACTTCTGAATAAAGTTCATTGTAATCCATTTCACCCGGTCAGAAAGCTGGGAATTTCCATCTCTTTTGTTGTTTCTTAAATATTTATGCAAAATTCTTTTGAACTTTTATTAACTTTAATACTAATATCCTCTGAAATAATTTGTTTTTCCGCTGCAGAGTTAGTTACCAACCACTTCTTGAAACAAATTTTGTAGTTTCTCATCACTTTCAAAGCGCTGTTTTCTTTTCTTCTTAAATTGAGTGCCAGATTATTTTTTGGTGCGATTCATTATAGAAACTTAATATTCACTATAGTTAATAGACATTTAATTAAGTTTTAAAACCCAATAATGCGCCCTTCTAAGTTTGGCGCCTAGGGCCGCGGCCCGGCTGTCCCCGCCCTTGGTACGGGCCTGCCCATATTTATATAGCAGTTTTGAATTTATCTTTGATTTTTCAACAAGATTATTTCCATAGTTACATTTTGCTTTACGCGATTCTATTTTCACAGTTTTGCAAATATTTTTATATTCCATTACTTTAATTCAAATCTTTCCAGTTCGATGATAAATTTTGATAACGCAAATTTTGTTTTGAACGTACAAGAAGACTTTCTACATCAGTAAACCAAGGATTGTTTTTTCTTTTCTTTCTTGAATTTACGTCAATAATTGGAATAAAAGCATTACATGATTGACTATTTTTTCAATAAACAGACCATACATAAATTGAACTGATAACCCATCAAATAAATAATTCCAGTCAATTTTATCAATACTTAGGCTTATTTGTAGATAGTCACATTTACTGCAATCAAATTTATACTTTGGATAATTTTCCATTGCAATAGCATCAAGGTTAAATTTACAAGTTAACACCAAATGTCCATGATT